TTGAGAGAGGATTGAATAGGCTGATGCAGATTATAATTGCCATGAATAGTGGAGGGACCGTTGATCTGAAATAGCTAATCATCAATCAATTAACCACTAGACTAAGTATTTTCAGAACGTCGGATTGATGAAGAGAAAAGCACGTCGAAGCAATGAAACCAAGATTTCACTAGCCACATTTCAAAAGTGTGCTTGCAAATAAATTTATTTTGGAACTACATGCATTTGTTTTATAGGTTAGCATCAAATATAGACATTGCCTTATTTTTTTCTTCGCTAAAGCAAATTCAATACTTCGGTGAGGTGGGAAATATTTTTTCCATTTTTTTAGTCTGTAAACAGGGCTCCATTGGTCTATTGTCACACCGTTGGCTTTCCAACACAGGTACTTGGATATGGCTGCAATCGCGGCTAAGAATTGTTTATAAGGACAATAAAGCTGACCACATAGTCGCAATTCACAGGAAATTGGAGTAAGTCTGCTTTGAAATGACTAACATCGATTGCCATATCAATGGCTTACTAATTGCTGCCCCTTTTCTCATTCCTCTAGTGACACTGAGGGCAATGAGCTCTATTACCGACGCAATTCCGAGTACAAGCTACCATTCCCCCTCCTTGAACCGGAAACTCTTATGTCTGAGGATGATTCGAACGAAATCAACGGAAATAACATATCGCTGAGGGAGGCTTCATCACTTTCCGAAGTGAAGTCCTTCACAGATGACTCCAGTGATGTCCAAATGAAGGTTTCACCCCATATTGAGCCGGAAAAGGATGGGGGATCAGGAAAACTCTGGAAGTCTTACGAAAGCAACAGCCAAGAGCCAAACTGTGGTAGTGAAGTTAAACCATCAGGACTTAAAAAATTCAAGGGACAGTCCAAGAACTATCTTCAAACAACGCGTCGAAGGAAGACCCCATTCAAGGCTTCAACTGTTGCAATTAAAAGTGTAACACGCTCGTCCACTAGCTACTATCCAGGTCTTGAGGCGGGATCCTCTTCTTCTGGGTGGTATAACTATCGAAATCTCTTCGGTAGAAACTTCCTCGCTTCGTCAGGAACAAAGACTGACGACTACATGCAGAATTACGCTATGTATAGCTACAACAATAGTACAACTCGACACACCTACGGTTACCATGGCTGGGATTTCGATAGGCAAAAGAATGATGAAGAGGTTTACTGTGGAATGCTAAATGGGGAACATGTTTCGACGAATGGATTTTCGTATACACTGCCCTACGGTACCAACGACTACAGTTCTGCTTACGAGGCCTATTCGGCAGCCGTGGCAGCAGCGGCAGTGGTAGCCGCTGCAAGTGGGCAGAACCAATGTATTGAGTACACGACACCAAACAACCTATCTCAGACCCACGAATCAGAAGCGTATGATGGTGCGGTGCGTGTAATTCGTAGTCCCTTGACATACAATGCAACCACCCATGAGCAACAGCCCTACGTACCTCCTCAACACCACTCTGTGCATGCTACAACCCACCAGCACCAAGCCCTGCCCTCCTTTTCAGGCTACCTGCAACATAAGGAGGAGGGCGTAGAAAGCATTGGCGGTGACCTGATCTCCGAACTGGCTTTAAAAACGGATGCAGGAGCACGGGTTGTCCATCCGACGTGGTTCTCGCACATCAATACTCTCAGTCAGACGGTACCCGTAGAGGTGGATAGAGATGCCAAATCACAGCCCCAGTCTCAAATGCCTGTCTATCAGGAGCATCACCACCAACACCTCAATAGCACTACGGACACAGCGACGAGGGAGAGTAGTGCGTGAGTGTGGCTTTCCGAAATTCCTCTTCCCTTCATTAACCAATAAGTTGATGTCAAATGTTTGTCACAGCTTATTAAGAGCAATAAATTTAAGAATACCTATACGATTCATATAGATTCTATAAATCCCCGCGGAATTAGAACAGATTAGTTTGAACGAAAATGATTATTTTTAACAGCCAATTTGATGTTTGAAATCTTAATTTCTATACGATGTGTGCGCAACTGCCTAACCAGGTAGGATGATGTAATGAAGAATTCGCTTCTCATGGTGGTTGTTGGCATATAAAAGCTACCACCTAATTTAAGCTTCCCAACTGTCCTGTCATTTAACTTCAAGAGTTCTTTTACTTGTTGCACACGGCAAAATGATTTCATTAAATTTGACTTCCATGTCAGAACAACCACAAAAGCACATGATGTCAATAAAATGTAAATCTTCCAGGTCCCTCTTAATTGCTTTACTGTAAACCGTTGTACATGAATTTTACGCATAAAAGTTTAGGGATGGCTAAGCTTTGAGGAGCTTTTTAAAAAATTTATTATGAAATTTGGTATTGAAACAGCGTTTGTTGGAAATCTCTGACCCACCGACCTACCAAAAGTCACATGGAATCGCATCCCATTGAGTGAAGTTTTGAATTAATTGCTTTACTCCAGGTATAGCCAAGATGGGGTGATGGAATCCGTACATTGTGGCAACCTGATACCGTGGAATCATTTCGAGAACCGAGTAAGACCAATTGCCTACCATATTTAAATTGCATTGACCACGAACCGCTGAGGACTCGAATTGCCCTTCTTCTGCTTTAGCCGTCCTGTGTTGGTGACAGCGGCCTCTGTGAGACGACCAATTACCAGGTGGGCTTTGCCACGACAACATGAAGATAATGTAAAAGTAATGCAATCCGTCCAGTAGCATAGGCGGGATAGATACCAAAATACTCAGCTTCGGAAGACTTGTTGTTTTTGGGAAGCAATAAAATAATTTGTACATTAACGCTTTGCCCTGTTGGCTCTTCTTAACTTTTGTGGCGAATGGAAAGAGGTGCGTGATTTTGTTAAACTCCAATTTTAGTAATGATTTTTCGGTACTGACAAACCTAAACGTAAGTAATCAAAGTAAATGGCACAAAATGGAACCCGGAAATCTTCTCATTAGCTGAGGAACTACGGAACGAGTTTGAGGTGCCTTTAAGGTGTTAGACTTTCCTGTTTCAATGCAAATTATTTCTCACTGCTGTTTTGGGCTTGGATCAGTCAGGTACACTAAATCGTGATCAGTTGATGAGAAAGAGAACAACTTATCGTTACTTGATCCCCATTCACCTTTAAATTTGCCACGCTGATAAAATCTGGACCTATAAAGCAACAACAAGAAAGCTTATGAATGCCGGCTTTGGTAAGGACACGATGTCGCATCAGTTGTTCACCAACTTAGGCTAGTGAAGCGCACTGCAGAGTGTACCATTGATGGGAAGCGCTTATCAGCCCATATCGGGTTGTGCTCAACAAGAAGCTGAGGAAAAACCAAGATATTAGTGGCGTGCTGGTCAGAAAATAGGTAAAGTTAAGAACTGTTATCATATGCCAAGATCTTAGTGACTATTATAAAGGCAAATGTCCGGAGAGCAGAGGGACGGTAGGTGAAATACTGCATCTCCCAAACATAGGTCAAGTTGAACTTACAGCTACCAAGGTAATGAACAAGCACTACTAACACGGTTTGTCAAAATTGGCAAAAAAAAATTAAACAAAACGAATCAAATAAGGTAAATGAGCTAGAATTACAGTCACGATGATGTGGTCATTGACGTGCTGCATAGCAGCTGATTGTCGTGAAATTCAACAATTCCCATGCCTCGAAATTGGTTTGAAGGTAAAGAAGAAAACGGAGCAGGTATTCAACATATTTAGGGTAAAAATTTAAACCGACTGAAAATCCGCTAAACAGTGCTATGTAGGGAGGCTATTTGGTGGATGTAGATTTTAGAGACAGCTTGAAGGTCATTCGATTGGCCGCCGCCGTCGTCCTCAAAGCTCGATGACTCGTGCAGAGTAAAATGCGTAGTTAGCGATTTGGAAACTCGGCCTCAGTGATATCACAATGTGCCATTCATTGTCCAATTTTCGTATTAAAAAGTTTGACAGATGTTTATTGTGGGTAGGTGAGTGAATGTCGGTTGTGGGAGGAAGGAGGGAAAAAAGGGAGGTGGCGGATTCCCATTGAGGCTGTTGATGCTATCGTTGGGCACATCGACCACATGCTGGCGCCTTGGTTGGACATGGCGAGTGAGCGTTTTGCGTGACCCTGAAAAGAAAGTCGCACTCAGTAAACAAATGGAGTTGTTGGATGACTAGCCTTAGAAGGGCGATTTTCCGCCATTAATCGTTTATTTTTTTATTTACTTCCCTTCATCTATTCGATTTGCTTTCTTTGCAGATCTTAATTCTTTACAATATCATAGTTCACTGTAGAATATGGGCTTTTGGCGGCAATTTTAAAGTGAAATTTTTAATCAACTGCCCAGGTACTCCTATGTCCATTTGTAGGAATTTGGCTTATTATGAGCTAGTGCTTTCGGTAGAGTCGCACATGCATTTGGCAAAATGAAGGCATTTGAAGGTTGCCAAAACATTAAGCTCTTCATCGCAAACCATTGCTACAGGATTGGGCCGGTGGTAGCATGGTGAAGGCACAATTTTGAGCGTTCCCACTCTTGGTGGGAGGAGCTGATTTCGCCTAGGCGCCTAATTGTAACCCCGGCCTTTGTTAACTTTATAGACGGATAGCAACGATAATGCATTATTGAGCAAATTCAGTCGATTGCCTCTTTGGAGCTCATTTGAAATGGGGGCTTAAGACATTTTTATTTGGAACGAATGGATATCCTATTAACTGGGAGAAAATATTTGACTTCCAAGGGTATTTTTAAACTGAAAGGTGTGAAAAGACAACAATTCTTCCCTTTCAACTAAAACGTGTTTCTGAAAGCTGCGTTCCACTACATTTCCAAGACAGTAGGTCAAACCTTGTGTTTGCTCCACACCTAAGCCTCAATATTTCGATACATCAGCCACGATCCACTTTCTACCCACATCCACTAACTAATGCCGATCAGTAGCCCATTTCCTCTTCATCACCCTTAGTACTTATTAGTCATTAAAACTACTTGAAAGGAATCTAAATGATTGCCTAAAACGTGAGAGCTACGTTAGTGTTCATGAAGGCATGCGTAACTGCAAACCATCAATTTGTTGGTTACTTATGAAGCGGCAGAAGATAGTGAGTACGAAGAGTTGATGGGAATTAAATTTTTAAAGTGCAACACACTAACATCTTTTCATTTGCCCAAAGCAAATAACGAATGCTATAATAAATTTACTGCAATCAAATAAGTAGCACAGTTACCTTTACTTTTGCTAAAAATGACCGTTCGACCAGTGAAAGCCAACACGGTGAGCGAAATTCAGGTCACCGAAAAACTGATTGTTCAACAACTATAACACGTTGTTTACGTGACCGCCTGATGAATGGCGGTCGCTTCGGTTTTTTTGTCCTTGTACTCGTGGTCTAGCCTCTGGACCATACCAAGGTCCAAGTTTTCTTCTTACCTCTAGAATACATGCATTCAGCCAAACTGAATGCCTTCTTCTACCTAATGGGAACTCTTGGGGCGCCACAGAAACAGCTGCCATCTACTGAACCAAGTTTCGACCAGCCTGAACCTACGATATACATCTAGCGCAAATGCAGTTTTATTCAGTGACGGATTGGTCTTTCAAATTGATCTGATCATATGCATTTCCATTTCGTGTTCAAATTATTGGAAGTTTTCACCTAAGAAGCCGCCATAAAAATGCTAAATCCCACTATGAGGTCAAGGCTAACTCGTTGCTCTCGTTGCACGTGGCTATGGCTATGCAACGGCTCAGACTCCGCAACTCATCCGCTAGCCACGCC